CCGAATCGTTATCTTATTGACCCTAATTAAACCTGACAGGACCGTGTACATCAAACACAGTTAAAATGATGTCAATCATTAGGTTTTGTGGTACATGTATTAGAGTTTAAAAAAAAACGTCTATTTACTATTATTTAAAATTTTCTTCCGTTTAATCCAACCTTTTTTTTTTCACAACCCCTCCCCCCACCAAAAAAAAAGCGCAAAACAATAACATGATGAAAACATATCTGAAAAGATAAAAAAGAAATATAGTCAAGATTTCATTTAACCAGATCATAATTATTACAAAGACAAAAGACAAGTCCGTTATCCTAAATCAGTTTCATTTTCTCGATTTGTAACAGGTGTTTAACATTTTTTTATTTTAAATTCGATTAGAAAAAAAAATTGAATTAATAATATGTCATTTTTATAGCCCCATAGCATTTTACATCCATAACATATTACCGAAATGTGTAATGCAGAAAATTAATTATAATAGTTCAAGCCGAAGGAAATTTTATCTTGTATAATATTTTCCCTCTGGTGGTATGTTGTTAAGTTGAAAATAAACAAATAAACACTTTGGTATAAAAGTATGCAAGTAGATTTAGCAAATCATTCTACAAAATATTCAATCAGTAGACAAGATGTCCCGGTTCCTGTTTTCAACGGTCATGATTGTACTTGTATCTCAGGTATGTAGATTTTTTTGTATTGTTCTTGTCACGATTATTTGATTCTCATATTTACTGCTTGTTTGGCTATTTTGATACCTTCAGATATGATTTTCGTTATTTCAAGAATTGGGTAAGGATGTTATATCTTAGATATTTGTTATTAATTTATTGACAACTTTGATAAACTCAGAAACGATTTAAGGTGTTCGCTCCTCTGTTTAGAAAATAACAAGGTTTACAAAAGACTGTTATAAATTTATTGTATATAAACATTAGAACTAAACAAATAGAAAAAATGACAGGTCCGTGTCCTTATTTTTGAAATAGAATCAATTGAAAATTTGGCGAAAAATTATTCTATCTAGATTTTTCTAGATACATTAAACATCGGCACCTTTTTCCATTCAAAAAGTTAAGAAAAAATAACAAGGATTTCATGAGATTTTCAAAAAAATATGTTTTAATTATATGTAATAAAAATATTTAAAGAAAAGTAGGGATTAGCGGGGAAAATTGTTTTTGGTACTATATTGATAAAACTAATGGATTCCGACTATCTAACAAAAAGTCAAAAACAGACGGCGAACATCCTTTAATTCTTAAAATATTGTGTGGACAATTTTATCGAAGACTGTATGATGCATTCTTAACGTATTTTGGGTATCTTTGTCGTGATGGTGTCAACTCATTGCCGAATACCCATATTTCTTGTTATCTATATTGCCATTTACATGAAATTTAACTAAATAGTTTGCCCAAGAAGTTCAAAATATCACAATGTTTTAGAAAAAAAGTATCTTTCAAAAAAACTTCGAACAAATATACCTTTTGAAAAATGTTTTCGTCATATTTAAAGATTATCATTTTTAATCCATATAATTTGCACAATGAATGCATCTATCATTGTCTATCGTTGCGTCGTGATTAGCTAATATCCCAGAGAAAGTGTAGTTGTCCTCAGTTTTATAATTTGTATTTATTAACAAACAACTCATTTCTTTAAAGCTTTCTAGTTGGCGTCCAACAAAGCATATCGAATACAAGTGTCATCATCATTTATATGTCGTCTTAAATAACAAATCACAAGCATTTTCTCATACAAAATGCTGAAATGGAATCATTCTCCAAAATAAATAGATATAGGAAGGTGTGGTATGAGTGCCAATGAGACAACTCTCCATCCAAGTCAAAATTTATAAAAGTAAACCATTATAGGTCAAGTTACGGCCTTCAACACGGAGCATTGGCTCACACCGAACAGCAAGCTTTAAAGGGCCCCAAAAATTACTAGTATAAAACCATTCAAACGGGAAAACCAACGGTCTACTCTATATAAAAACGAGAAACGAGAAACACGTATGAACTACATAAACAGACGACAACTACTGTACACCAGATTCCTGACTTAGGACAGTTGCAAACATTTGCAGCGGGATTAAACGTTTTAATGGTACCAAACCTTCTCCCTTTTTCTGAAACAATAGTATAACATCACAACAAACAAAGACACACTATAAAATATCAATTGGAAGGCTTAACTCAATCAAAAAACGTAAATTAACACGCAATGAACGAATAACTTTGATCTGTGATACCTGAATGCAAATACATACTTAATAAAAATCATAAGGGATAAATAACTAAGGTCAAAAGTAAATAAACATGTTGTAACAAAGTTAAAGTATGATACCACTGTGAAATGTTAAACAATGTTTAGAAAATCATCACTTTTGAAAAAACCTGTGTCATATTTTACACAGGTAAATGAAAATAATTGTGTTGTTAAGTATACTTCTTCTTCTGTGTGTATAAAATCCTCCGTTTAGGAATACCAAGAAATTTCTTTAATATCAATAAAACTAATCTAACACTTGGTACATATGGGGTGAATATCAACAATAAAACTATACAATTAGTGCTAGATAAAACTTCCTGTACAGGTGCAAGAACATTATTTAAGGAGAAATGAAATAATTTTGATGTCCATAGTACGAAGAAGTGAAAATGGGTAGTAATTCCAAATAATCAAAGCTGGTATATAGACAAGATCCATGTTAGCATTAAATAACAAAAAAGCATTACAACTAGTAACAACAGGTCAAATTAACAAGAAAGTACGATTTGAGAGTACTCGTAGTTACTGACAGCTAGTTAAACATGTTAAAAGCCAAAACAATTAATAATAAAAAATCATGCATCAGAGACTGAAATCAACTAAAACACATCCCAGGAATTTAGTATTTTAACGTCATGAACAGTCAAAGAAGACATGACTTGTGCAATGCCAAAAATAAATGTATCGACAGGTAGTAGGATAGTTAGGAGTGACTTCTTTATAAATAAAAATGAACTTGTGTGTGTCTCTATACATCCCGTTTGAAAAGAAAATACAAATTTAGTTATGTTTTAATTTGCTAATGACAAAATCGATATTAGTGCCAATGTAAACTATATTCAGAGATCTAATTACAACATTGGTACGATAACCCTTACTAATAAGTTTGTCTAAAGGTTCGATGAGTTTACACGGATCACATAGTGATTTCCGCGCTGTAAGTACAATATAAACGTAAAATTTAGGATGTGAAATACCATTTTTAATAAGTTTTCTACAGGTACAGCCAAATTTACTAATTATATCTTTGTATCTATGAAAGAATTTAGTAAAAGTTTTAAGTAATTTATGGTAACGAAATCCCTGACTTAATAATTTACCAGTGATGCATTGATTACGTTCGTTAAAATCTATGACATGACTACACACACGGGCATACCGAACGAGTTGGGATATATAAACACCGTATGATGGAGCTAAAGGCACATCGCCGTCTTAAAAAGGAAAATTAACAATAGGGAATGAAAAATCGTCTCTTTTGTCGTAAATTTTAGTATGGAGTTGTTACCCTTTAGAAATTGACATGTCTAAATCTAGAAAAGGACAACTGCTGCTGTTTATGTTAGATTTAGTTAAAGTAAGTTCTTTTGGGTAAATTTCGGTAGTATAATTAGAGAACTCTGGATTATTTAACGAAAAAATATCATCCAGATAACGGTAGGTATTGTTGAATGTATCAACCAAATGTAACAATGATGTGTCTTTACTGAGTTCGGTCATAAACTAAGATTCATAGCAATACAGGGATAAATCTGATATTAAAGGGGCGCAGTTAGTGCTCATAGGAATGCCTACTACCTGACGATACACTTTCATGACTTTATCACCGAAACGTACATATATGTTATCTAGGAGAAAATTTAAAGCTTCAATCATATCCTCTCATTTCCAGTAAGTGTATATAGCATACTTTCCTTTTTCGTTACAGAAAAAGGCTTTAAACGAGTTACAGCAAATAAATTTACAATGAGATTTTTCGAAAGACCATTTTATTAAATATGAAAACTTTTTCTTTATTAGATTGTGTGAAAGTGTAGTGTAGAGATTAGAAAATTCATAACTGTTAACAGAATTAAAAAGAACCATCAAAATCATGTATTTTATCTAAAACCTCTAAAGAATTTTTAACACTCATAAAATAACTAATACCATTATTTTCATAAGCTTTATTACAAAAGTTAATAACCAGTTCTTTGATAGTAGTAAGGGAGGTAGTAAGGAGCACTGATAGATTAGTAGTAGAACACTTACTACATGCGGAGATGAAACGGAATTCAAATGTTTTTTTTATGTAATTTCGGTAACCAGTACATGGTAGGGACTTTCAAATGTTCGGAAGAGGCTTTAAGCTGGGTAGTGGCAGTGATATGCTTGTTAACGATTTGACTCTCAGTGGTGCGTACGGACCTGAATGTAGAGGAATTGATAATTTCGTTTTGAAGAACTTCCGTGTAGTATATGCCTCATACCACCACTACATTAATGGCTGCCTTGTCTGCCGGTACGAACACAAACCGCTCTGCGAGTGCTTGGAGTTTATTTTTTGTTTTAGAAATGGGAATATCATGGACCCTATTATTAATTTCAGAATTATTTTCAAAATGAGATATTCGAATATTAACAGTATTCATAATTTTATTCAAAGCTGATTTGTTTTTTGTTTTTGTTTTTATTTTGTGTTTAATTTAAAGGCTTCCAAGATAAAATGTCTTGAAAATTATGCTCCCATTGGACTTCTTAAACTGATCTGATGTCTTCGTTACTGATTTGATACTCAAATTTAATCGTAAGACATATCTATTTTTGTTTTGCCCTTAATAATTATTTTTTTTTAACAATTGTGCAAAGATATATCTGTCAATCTTAAAGAAGAAGCCTTAATTTTTAAACATTATTGAATTCTTGTATATTAAAGCAAAAATAATATAAAGTATGTATTCAAAATTTCAGGTGTTTGGAAGAACTTTACTGGATGCAAGGTATGAAAATTTATTAGTATTTCATAAATCATATTATATATCCCTTATCAATTAGACTGTAAATTGTGTGTGTGTGTGTGTGTATGTGTGTGAGTTATAGATTCTAGGTGCCGTAAGTTGTGTATCTTTTTATTTACTTTATAGTTTTCTTTTTATTTGTGTTCTTGCTAAAATGTTGCTCTTATTCGCATGACTTTTGAAATGACGCGGTATATATACATCCTGCTATCGGTTTGTCGAATTTGGACGTTCCTGGAGCAGGTGGGTCCTGAGCTTCGATTCTGACTTAGGAGGTTTTTACATTGTTGTTTCCATTATGTTTACCCTTGGATATGAATATTTTACTTAGTTTTTATTATACGATATGTACAGTTATAGATACTAATTGTTCTACATACTGTCGATACTTTTATTTTGCATTGTAAACGGTCACGTTTTCTTTTTCTTCTCAAACTGAGTATGAATTCTTTTACGCTTAATTCGTTGGATATGTCCTGATTCATATTTGAACAGGGAAAAAAATATTTATTTATTAGTTGAAATCGGTTTTGAAATACCAATTGGAGTTTATAGTCATGGTGCGTTTGAAGCGTTTTTCTGAATTAAAACTAAACCTGCATTAAGAACTCAAACCCTACAAAAAGATGAAAGTCAGGAATGTTGACTACTAGAATACGTGATCAGCGATTATGACCATAAGAGACACAAAGCGATCAGCCAAAATTAAACTACGGTCAACTTTGCATGAGAAAATTTGAACCTTAGCTTCATAATAATTTCTTACCTTATCAACGGTGAATTACTGAAAGGTATAAATCCTGTCAGTACCAAAGCTCTGCGACGGAGCTGAGATAACCATCGGGGACTAACAGTTTCACCAGTAGCGGTTTCGACCCAGTGCTTGAAATTACTTTATCATTTTGGTATATCCGGAACGCGTTTATGGATTTACCTTGGTAATAAGTAAAGCACAAACACAAACATTTGAAACCCAAGAAAATATAACTACTTGAATGTTTTATGAGCTTATGACTAAATTAGACACACAAAAAGAGTGCATTTGTTCATTAACATATACGCAGTAGAACTCTTATTAGTTATAGCTCAATAAGTCCAGTTTGCAGATACAAGTTACTAAAAAATGTGTGAAATTTGTAATTCAATAAAGACTTTACCATACAGTGAAACGAAATGTCTGTTATAATTATAATCTTAATGGGGTAGACGTTTGGTTATCATAGTTCTTTTTTTAATGAACGTGTTTGTCATGATATCATAACGATGTTGCGTGCAAAAAATAAATTTATGACTTTCGATGTTAAGAGCTTGCTCCCTTCAGTAGTTTGATTCATCTATATTTATACATTACTGGTTGGTTTGAAACGCATTAACTTTTTCCGCCCCCATAGTATATAGAAGCGTTCAATTTTCATCGAGCCTATATGAATTGCCTTTGACTTTTTTTCAGCATAGAGAAGCGTAGTATAGGTAAGATATATATTTAAAAAAAAACATAATTTTGAAGAAAGAATATACATCACTATTTCTATAAATAAGAATAAGATCAGGGTAAAACGTTAAGTTATAAAATGAATGACAACATTAAAAAACAACAAATAGAATAATCTGAATAAAATGAATATTTGAATTAAAACAAAAACAGGACACGTAAGGTCAGTGTAGATTCTTCAACAAATCTTGCCTAGCACATACTGCACATCTTACGTTGCACAGCCAATGTTTTAGACATGATGTGTTATGATTATTCTAGAGTAATTATCGGTTTATTAATTTTGCTATGAAAATATATACAATGCATCATGTACAGACAAAGACAAAGACCTGAATCAACAATAAATTCCATCAATAACACAAATCATAAATTATAATTGGAGGCCCAAGCTGACGAGGTTCTTGATTTAGCACAGATACATCAATATATGGAATGATTTAATCTTTTTTTTTCAAGATCTTAAACCTAAAGCTTTTTTCGATCATTCTCGTATGTGCAATCTAATGAATTTTACGAGTCTGTTTGAAATTCTATTGTAAAAAGGTGTACTATGATTGCAGAAATTCCCTTTTCCTAAGCTTGTACACACTGGTTGTGAAATTGTTTTGATTGTTTTACTGAAGGTATAAAAAAAATATTCCCAGTTCATTATGAACACTTACATTCTAATACCGAACAAATAATATTGAATACACGTTCAAACCAAAGCAGTTAATAACTGTAATGTTTACAAATGTTCAAAACTAGCACATTATGATTTATTTTGAATATACAGACAAACATAAGCTTTGTGTTATATAAATATGCCTATCAATTTAGAATTACTGATTATAGATCGCAAAATATCTAATGTTTTGCCTATTACCTTAAGTAATATATACTTTCAGGATCTTGTTCGAAATGCTTTAAGGTATGTCCAACCGGCCAGAAAATCCGTGATCGTACAGAGAAAGATTACATGCACAACTGTGTAATTTGTGTAAAAATCCGTTGTTGCCAATGAAGCTACAAATAATGTGTTGTCATCAATGATTAACATACAAACAAAAGCACCTCATATAACCGGTATAATTGTGCTGTGCAATTTAACTTATGCGTGCATTAAATCATATTTATAAACGGATTATTGATCTGATAATATATAATGTTTTACTTTAAGTAATATATATTTTCAGGGTATTGTGGGACATGCTGGTTGGGATGTCCAACGGGACAGCACATCCGTGCATGTACAGAGGATGATTTTAAGCACAACCGTGTGATTTGTAAATGCGTACCTATATCAGGTGAATATATCCGTGCGGTTAACACGCACACTTCTCCAAAATAGAAAATGTTCTATCATGTCATTTTTAGCATTTATTCGTTGGGAAAATAGTCATTCAGTCATTAGCACAGATGAGTCAGAAATTCAAGCTTTAAAACGGGGGCATATTCGGGCCTATTCATTCGTCATTGATGCTATTTAATATTTAAGGTAGATCGGTTGTCTTTCGCCATCTGGGATTGTAAAATAGCAGAAAAAAATCCGTCTAGAACTTTTAGGAAATGTGCAAATTTCGATAGTAAATTATTATGCATTTAAATGGAGAAAATTATGTAATTATATATTTTTACTATTGTTTGTTTTTTACAAATGTCGAATATATATTGCTTGATTCAATTTTTGCTATATGAGGGGAAATAACTCGGATAATGTATTTTCTAAAATGTTATTAATTTATAAATTTTGTTTTGTAGCAGGAACACGAATCCCGTGGCCCCAATTTTTCTTTATAGTTTTTGAAAGCACCTTATAAGAGCTATCACCTTATATTTTATCTGAAAATTCTATCTTTCAGTTTTCATTTTGTCACACGTAATTTGGTTTTTCATGCATAATCTATACACAATCTGATAATTTTAAACACCATGTAGCTTGTAAAAAAGCCCCATGGCACATACTTTTAATATATTTTTGGGAAACGCATAATATAAACTATGTTTTGGCGGATTGTTATGGAAAAAAACCTATCGATTCAAATTACGACCCCCCCCCCCCTTCCCTTATATAGAAAACTTATTAAAAATGGTATTTCAACATATTTTGATAATTATCAGTTCTGCTATTTTAGTAGCGGAAAGGAGACAGCAGTGTGCTTTTTCGGGAGTGAACAATTGCCTTGGTTTGTTTTAAAGTTACACAGGCGAGATTCAAACAGTTAATGTCGCATACATGGCGAATTGATTCCCCGAAATTATTGCAGTTATCTTGAATGCATTAAAATTAAGGTTGAAAAATCACCACAATAAAATTAATCTGTACGTGTACCAGCCTTTTATTCCAAACTACCAATATATAACTTACAATCGTCGATTCCTATCTTAGCTTTTTATTTCTTTTCATTCTAAATCCGTGATATGTGAATTTTGCAAACTGTCTAAAAGTCTTACGGTAATCTAAAAATAGATTCGACTAATGTACAGAATTCATTGCAATTAGAAAATTATTGATGGTTGTTGCAATGTCTTACATTTTTGTTATAACAAGGAATAGAAGGCACAAGATTTATCGATTCGAACCTTGTCGGAAATTATCAATTACAAAGATTGATTGAAAAAAGTAAAGTAACAAAAATACCGAACTCCAAGGAAAATTCAAAACTGAAAGCCCCTTATCAAATGGCAAAATCAAAAGCTCCAACACATCAGACGAATGGAAAACAACTGACATATTCCTTACTTGGTACAGGTATTTCCTTATGTAGAAAATGATAGATTAAACCTGGTTTTATAACACATGTCTATATAATCATAAACTAAAAACATAATAAAATTAACGGTATCAATATTTCAGCATTTCGATAATAAATGTCTCCACAGTGTTGATCGAGGATGAAATCTTTGACGCTCCAAAACTTATCAGGATCAGATATTTGCATGAGAGAGATACATTCCTTAATTGGAAATTCCAATAAAAAAATATCCGTTTTTCCATGCCAGTACCAAAGTACTGGATACTAATATTCTTATAGGCTCGAGAACTAACAGCCCAGCAGACGTCAAAGAGGGACGAAAGATACCAGAGGGACAGTCAAACTCATAGATCGAAAACAAACTGACAACGTCATGGCCAAAAATAAAAAGACAAACAGACAAATAATAGTACTGATGACACAACATAGAAAACTAAAGACCAAGCAACACGAACCCCACCAAAAACTGGGGGTGATCTCAGGTGCTCCGGAAGGGTAAGCAGATCCTGCTCCACATGTGGCACCCGTCGAGTTGCTTATGTTATTACAAATCCGGTAAATAGTCTAATTCGGTAAGTCAATTATCCATATTGCAAAAACTTCCATACGAACGTTTATAAATTCAGCTGATAGACAGATTATTTTTTTCAATTTTTTTTTTTAATTCTAGATATTTATTCTCCCATTTTAGCAACGACAAATATAAATCTTTAAGAGAGGATAATAATAACATGCATCACAGAAAAATGATACCAAACATTGGCAACTAAAATTTATAGATTGATTGATTGGTGTTTAACGCCACTTTCAACACTATTGTGCTATTTCGTGGCGGTCAGTTTGTATTGGTTGAGGAACCCGGAGTACCCGGAGAGAACACCGATCTTTGATAGGAAAACTGACAATCCTAGTCAATTAAGTTTGGAGTCGAGTGCACCTGCTTCGTGCTGGATTCGAACTCACAACCTCAGTGTTAACTGGCTAGTGATACAGTAGTTGGAACACTGAGACCACTCGGCCACCGAGGCTCCCACCAATTTTATAGACAGATATTAGCTATTGAAAAAGTAAACGACTTTCTCATTATTTTCCAACTTCTTTTTACGATGTTTTGATAGTGGATTGCAGATATTATTAAAATATATTTTTGTGTGTTCTACATTAAACTTGTTCATTTAAAACTGGAGAGCCTCGTGTTATCACGAAATTTTGCTAATCTTTGCTTTTAAAAGTCTCTGGACGTATAACCAGTTCGTAATAATTCGATGCTTTATTGTTTACATAGATGCATTAAGTTTTTTTTTTGTTTCCTATAATGTAATATTTTGCAATTCTGTTTGCAGAAAGTAAAAGAGACATCCTAATGAACGAGGTAGGCTAGGAATTATGTCCTTAGGTCTAATTACATTGAGTTCATTTTAACTTAAAACAGTACTGAATATACTCTTATAAAGGAATAACGGAACAAAAAGGATAATGCCCGTGCTATGACAGGGTAAGCTTCATTTGCTATGGATGCATTACCCGCCATGCAAATCCACAATCAGTAAAGATGTCACATCCGGAAAACCACACAATCGTTAACATTATAGACCAGACGGCTGTTCTATTATCTAATGACTAAGACCATGGAAACATGTTGCATGTGTGTTGAGACACATGCACCCAGTATCAGTCAAACAATTCGAGATAGTGATCGTAAAATTATGTACTGTCGATTTCACTTCATAACTCTGTTGAAGCAGTTTTTGTTAAAGTAGCACACCTGGTAATGTAATATGCATGGACGTAACGTAAAAATAAAGATTCGTACATGCCATACGATTGGCAAATGGTAAGTTACTGTTGAAAAATGGGAAGTTGACAATTAGAAGTTGAAATCTTCACGTTTGTCATGGATTCTAGTTTGAGGTCGTCCTGTGTCAGTCTCGCAGAGCATATACAGATATCAATCGAACCTTCTAGTGTCAGTAATATTCGTTACCTTATGATCACTGGGGTATCATTCAAATGTTGGATGAAACATGTATTATGGTTGGCTGAATGATTTTTGTCTATCAGCTCATAGACATAATTTTGTCATTTTACCGTGACGTCATCAACATTTTTGTCATGATTTGCACCTTAAAAATGGAATTTATAATTAAATTATAAGGAACGACTGTTATATGTTTTCTGTCTATTCGAAATAACCTCAAAAATTTGGTGCACACTTTTAAATAACCCGCTACGCGAGTTATTCAGTGTGTACCACATTTTTATGTTATTTCTTCATAGAAAAAATATAACAGTCATTCCTGCATTATGAGATGCAAGCACTCACTGATATGTGGGTTAAAGAATGACAGGACATAATCAATTTATCTGAAAGTGAAATGAAAAGAAAACGTATAAGGATTAACACATGATTTTAATAATGAACTGAATGAATCGATTCAACATAACCATTTTATGATATCCTATTAAATAATTAATAATTAAATCCGAGAAGGGCGAAACATTGATAAAAACAAAGAGCATTACTCTGAGACCAAAAACAAACCATCTTCCATTGGCGATTTGTGTATTCATTGTCAATAGTTTGGATAGCTTATTTTGGATATCACTTTGATAGCACAATTATTTAAGAGGAGCAATGAAGCCATATCAGATACAGAATTACATTATAGATGTTCTGGTCGGTTTAATTGACATGTTCGTAGTAACTAAGAGCGTACATTTCGGAAGTTAAGTATCTAAAATGAAATTATTATTATTTTTGTTTTCAGGAATAGGTATGGTACTTGTTGGACGATTCTGATATGACGGTGTTAATTTTTTGTGACATTATCATATGTGGATTCTTTTTAACCAACCAACATACAAAATGAAATGTTCGTCAGTTTCAAATAAAACCTAGATGTTTTATGATGTCTTGTCTTTTTTCTTTTTTTTTAAATTGAAGATGTATTTAGAAATATCACTTATTTCTATATTCAATTTTTTTTATGGCAAACCATCTATTTGTTCAATTGATTAACAGCTATCATAATTCTTTCATAAAGCTTCACACTAAAAACCTTGATTGTTTGAATTTGCACGATAAGTCAGTCAAAAATATATTCTGATGAAGTTGACAAAGAAACGTAGGGATGCTGTCGCCTTTGGTATATGTGATTTAATTTTTATAATGTGACATCACCGAATTAGAATCATTAGCACATTTAATGAAAACCTTTAATTTTGCAACATATGTAACAACAAAACTTATAACACTTCCTGCCGCCCCATTTTGAAGTAAAATTACGTCTATAGTTTTTTTTTCTTTTTTTATGTGTTTCAATGACTGTTGATTATCTTTTTGTTGTTTGTTTTAAATTTTCTCATAGTCGTTGGTTGTCTCCTTCGGATGTTCTCCCACTTTTCCACCTAGAACGCCAAAAGGCACAAAAAAATATGTTACAATATATAGGGAATTATGTAATAAAATGTTATCTAAAAAAAAAGATAAGCGGAAACTTATAAAATGAAATATGTTAACTGTCACCAAAAAGGCTCGAAACTAAAATTTTGGAAAACTAAAAAAAAAAAAAAGAAAATAGCAAGAAAAAAAAATTAGAAGTCCATACAACGTAGACCAACAAAGATAAAATTTTACGGAGTAACTTACAATCGTACTTGAATTTATTACTATTATATGATTAATGGAAATTCACATTTATAGACTAGACAAAAACTATATAATACAATCATGATAATGACGTTGCATTGGCTCCAATGAATGCCAAAAGGTTAAAGGTGATAATAGTTTCAAATCTCATCAATCAAATAAAAAAAAACGAAGGAATGCATTAACTTAAAAAGAAGCGGGGCAGGTTGCATCGACAAGGTAAGTGTCTCCTGCTAGGCATGCATTCCCCTCCTCCAATAAGAATTAATACTCAGTCAGAATTTTACAATCGGTTAAGTTACAAATCAGACGACAATACTGGTATATAAAGATATCAGACCGTGAAACATGTCGCTAGTGAGATGAGACGCAGACACAATGTATCGGTCAACCAATTCGTAATATCGATTTCAGTCTTTCTTCCTCGTAACTTTCTTGGAGCCGGTTTTGTCCGTTTAGTGTGAGCATGCACGAGTGTAACGTATTTACTGAGGAACATGTATATAAGCGACATGGAGCAGAGAGCAAGTTACTGTGACATACAATTTTGACCTGTAAGTTTGAATATTCCTTTGGTATCTTTGGCCTCTCTTTTAAATCTAAGAATTGGAAAGATGACAACTGGAAAGTTGAAATCATCAATTGTGTCATAGATTTTAGTTTGAAGTTTAAGGTATGAAGCTAACCTTCTACTTTAGAACACTTGTAGAAAATATCATTTCTAACAATCTAAAACTGTAATATGTGTATTAATGTTGTACAATTTTATACAAACACAGATAGGTAAACTTTCATCTGTTTGTAAGTAGTCCGACGTCACCGTACTAAAAAATAGACACTATCGAGTCGAAATATTTTTTTCCTGGGTAATTAAGTCCCAGTGAAATGACGTGTTTTACTGATACGTATTATATCATTCTTTATTGCTTTCATATACAGTACGCGTTAGTTTGTAATACTGGTCGCTGGAAGAAAAACTACAAAATAACTCAAACTTTCTCCTTCTTTGTATGTGAGCAAAATGTAAATTTTCGAATTATCTGTTCACGAAATTTCTATAAGCTGATATGTTCAGGAATTTACTCGTTTAGGTCAACTGCTTTTAAATTTACGCTTCTAGTTGAGTATAAATATGTTGTTTTATATTTTTAAGACTCATGTGAGGAACCGACATCCTAGCACAGTAATTGTAAAGTACATGTAGGTATCATTTGCTCTAAAATTATATTATTTTTAGTGAAAAAGCTAACATGAGCAACAAGACGGGTGCTAAATGTCAAGCAAAATCTGCTTACCCTTCCGAAGCACCTGAGATCATCCCTAATTTTTGGTTGGGTTCATGTTGCTCAGTCTTTAGTTTTCTATGTTGTGTTTTGTGTACTGTTGTTTGTTTTGTCTTTTTCTTTATAGCCATGCTTATTTTCGACTTGTGAGTTTGAATGTCCCTTTGGTAATCTTTGCTTTTAAATTGGGATGTCACAGTTTATGGAAAGTTACGGCAGTAAATTTCAAGTAGGTTTGAAGAGACAATACATAAATGGGGTCGAATAATAAAAGGAAGTACTTTAAAGGCAGATGAATAACTAGTTTTGACAGTAAAGGCGTTTTGCTGATTGTGATTTTTAATTGAATATCCTACTTTAGCAAATGCTTCATTATGCACATGCTCAATACAAAACCAATCTGTTTTGTTTTGGCTTTATAAATATATCATACCTGTTTATGATAATATGCTTCATTGCCATTCGATAAAAATATAAAATAAAATAAATAGTTATCATTTTGACTACTGAAAATTCAGAAATCATTGCGTGCATTTATTATTGCGATTTTTGAAGAATGGACATAAATGCGAGATTAATTATTGCGATTTCAGGAAAAGCTGCATACAGATATATGCATCAGATATCAGAATGAGGGTTCTTATTATTGCGATACTCACACAGTCGCATTATTCGCATTAATAAAAACCTCGCAATAATTTCTGAATTTACAGTATTGTGATTGTTTATCCTCGTGATAATGATTAGGATGAATTGGTGTCTAACGTCTATTGTAAGTATTACATGTATATCAATACGATAACATATTAATGTGATATGAATAGAACCCCTGTTATGCACTAGACCGCCATGCTGATACAAGTTTTAACATGCTTGTTATCAAAGTAGCAGTCAAAAAGAAGACAACGGAATAGAAGATACTTTGTTTTTCTTTTGTTTTTTTTTTTTACTTTTTAAAAGTTAATAAAAGGTAATTTGCCAATAATAGTCTGAAATCATACGCCTATGAGACTGTCAACTGTGTATTATTTATCTTATCATGCAATAAATCTACATCTACATATATAGACGGGTCTTTCTAATTATACCCCTTAGTATTGCACATGTCCGCACGAGGTCATCGATATCCGGTCGCCATTAAGGTCGTGAAAAATTGTAAACAGTAGAGAAAGCACGCTATCAGAACACACATAATTTTATTGTTGATACAACCAAAATGAATAATCTGAATCCACCAAGCTTAGATAAAATAACAACATGGGCAGACGATATGAGGGTATGGCCAAATGTTATGTACGGTGATGTGTACAACTTTTTAATTTCGTCAAAAGCTGTCGATGGTCAAGAAATGAAGAATTTCAAAAGCCTGCAAAGTTATAATTACTTTCAAAATGGAAATGTCGGAGCTATTACGCACCATGTTTATACTGACAATACGTTTTTAATGAGAGCAGAAGTCCGTTCTTCCCAAACAGTATCGAGAATGAACATTCTACACAAGATTGCACAGTGAAAAATGGATGGTGTTCGTTTATGGCAGGCCGATGTCATGCGTGTAGTCATGTTGGGGCTCTTCTTTGGAAGTTGAAACATGCTGTGAGAAATAGTCTTACTGGGATTGCCTGCACTGATGAAAGTGCTCAATGGAATAAAGGGACCACAAGGAATGTGGAACCAAAGGCACTCTCCAATATAACATTTAAGAAGCCCAAGGTTGGCGAATCTGTCATGGAAAATAATGAGGATTATGTGCCGAGCGTTCGCGTCACTCCTCTATTTTCATCAGATGCAGAACTTAAGGCAGCTATAAAGAATTCACCTATATACAAACTGTTCGAAATAAAAGGAACAACTGTTTACAAAAGTTTTAATTGTACACATATGTCTAATGTGATAATCCAAGAGGAGCATGGTAAACATACTTCTATTAAATCATGTAGGAAATGTAATACCTTTTTCAATAAATATATTGAACTTAATGACACAACATCATTTATTAGGGAACATTTGCATCCCAAATTTACAGGGAACAAATATACGAGACATGGTACGCAGCAAGAACATGTGGCTAAAGAGAACCTACGGTCACTGGGCAATATTATTATAGATACCGGCATGTATGTCTCAACTGAGGAACAGTGGCTTTCTAGTAGTCCAGATGGAATTTTAAATGGTGACACATTACTTGAGGTTAAATGTCCAGTTCCAACAAAATGGAATATACTTGAAGAACTGATAAATGGTGGGAAATATGATGTAATTAAAACCAAAGAAGGACATTATCAAATTAAAGTCAAAGGAAGTGGGGGTTATTACATGCAGATTCAATTGACTATGTACTGTGCTGGCCTTCGAAAAGGCAAACTGTACCTGTGGAGGTGTCCGGATGACTTTATTTTAATAAATGTTGATTATGACCAGGAATATTTTCGTGAACAAGTCCAAAGATTAAAAGACTTTTATGTGAGAAAAATGATTCCCAGAATTGTTGATGAAGTAGACAGTGATCGTCTCACTTTCAGTAGACTGTTTTGTAATTTTATGAGATAGATTTTTACAATAATAATAATTTTATGGTCTAAAGCTTTAAGTTGTTCATTTTATCTTAAGATTCAGATTGACCCTGTAAGCATTTGTACTTGTAAATCAATGTATGGTCAGGGAGGTTAAGGATTTAAACCCGTACCAGGTCAGACATCTCTGCTAAGCACACAAACAGTATATATGTGTATATTTTTTTACAGAATTTACAATGTACATGTAGGTTTAGAAGTAAAGACCAGTTGACTCCGAGTTAAACAATGTGTCCTTGTTATAATACAGTATATTAATATAAAAATAAGGAGATGTGGTATGATTGCCAATGAGACAAATATCCACTGTCAACAATGAGAAAGACCCATAATAAATGAAAGGCCCAAACATAAAAAAAATTATGAAACAATTATATTCAATTGAGAAAACAAACAGCCTAA